CAACCTACTGACGCCTTTTATCCTACGCACTTCCTGGCAATTCCATTTCTTTCCCCTGAAATCTCTCAAATGTAGGCGGTTTGCGACTTTGTTTAGTTGCACGGCGGTCCAGTGGATGATGAACTCGACATGGCTGAAAGTGCGACTCAGTCTCTATAGAGTGATGCCTGACTGCTCTAACATTTGTGGAACTCATTGTGGAACTAATGCTAATATCTAGTTTACCGCAGTGCAGAGATAGCTTACGGTGAGTGGGAGGAATGCTCGCAAGCTTCACACACGAAACGAGACATCCATCCTGTGTCGCCTGCGTGAGCAAATCACACGTGGCGTGTGCCAGCGTCGATATTAGTGGCCCACCGATTACAGTCTCGGCTCATGTCGAACGTGGGACTTGGAATCCCCGATTCTGAGCATCAAGCATTAGACCTATTCTCAGCCAGAAATGACGAAGCCATATATACGTACGCATATAACAATGCTGCAAGACCCACACTATGGATCCCACAGTCTCCCACTTAACGTGCACTTGAGAGGAGACACTATAATACACTTGGGTCTATGCGCCACATGACCTACGGTATTGAGCAGTTTGAATTGGATCAGCTGAATGCTGATAGGCGGGATTGGTATCACCTACACGCTCTCAGAGCGGTGGAGGACACGAGATTACCTCCGCATTGCCAAATCGACAATGTACACGTGAATGTATCGTGATAAACGGGCGCTTATGTTTGAGAAATCCCCCACAATAACGGTGTGAATCCTGTTGGTTTGTTAGTCAGCTGCGTTATATCGATTTACTATGTGTAGCTCGACTCCGCTCGTCTACTATTAGCTCCTTTTGTTGTCCGAGCCGGACAGTCCGACTGTACGGCCCTACCAGTGTGAAGTGGAAAGATGGACGCTGTCTATCTAGCACTACGAAGCGTGTTCACGTTTATATGTGTCAACGAGAAGAGATTGTGGATTCCTTCAAGAATTACTGCTGGCACTCCCGCCGTCTCGTTGGCCGTAGTCAAGTTATATCTGATATCTGTATCTCTCTTGATTGTGTTGCCAGAGTCACTGGCATCGACTAGGTGGAGTGCCAATCGACGACCTCAACGCAAAACGTGCCTCTGATCTCATTTCACTCAGCTCGGGCTCGTACACGTATAGAATAGACGTACACGTGCAAGTCTAGCTGTGCATTCCGCCCGTATACAACGAAGTCCATGCAGGAATCCTCGTGTTCAACACAAAGTGTTGTAACAAACCAGGAACGGTAACACACCACGGCAGTGTGGAGAGGGTGTCACCGCCTCCATGAACCTGAGGTTTTTTTCTCCTTGCTGTTCGAGAACTGCCTCCTTCCTCACTACAACCGTCGAATTCTCATCAACAAACTCTTTAGGTTAAGTCTTATTCGTAATGCCTTTCGCCTACGGCCTCTTCTTGCTTGCCATTGTGGCGCAAACAGCAGCCCAGGGACAACCTGATATCCCTTACCAGGTTACTGCTGACTATCCAACCCCTTGTTATGGAGGCCCTGGTCCAGGTGATGGAAGTAACATTACCGATATTCAACCGCCGTGCTGCCTCTACAACATGAAGGGATACACAAGCGATGGGGTTCATAGAGAAACTGCCGGTATCTTACTCAAAACCAACAGGCCTAGCTTGTCTGGCACAATGCAAATAAACGTCACTTTGATGTTCAACTACTCCCTGCTCTATCCCAAGTTTCTTGGTGTCGAAGTGGAGACGTATGGATTGGCTCACCTGAGTGTCGGTGATGAAACCCGACAATTCTACTTGTCCATAGGCGGAGGCAACGTGAAGCGTTCCTATGGCACTGGAGTGATGGTCGAGACTCCGATTAATGAGGCTGGTTTTATCCCTAACAAGGGGAGTGTTGTCCATATTTGGTCATCAGATTCTCTAAGAGGTACAGCTGATATGTACGGGCTGTCGATAATTGCTCTCCACACACCCTTCACCAATGCAGTCGGTGTCGAATTAAACTCAATAATAGACATTCACATGCTAAAGAGGAAAGATGGTTGGGACTACAGGTTGGAATACTTCTTTAGTGACTCGACTCACAAACTCGGCGTTTACGACAAGTATGCCATCCGCGGTTATTTGCTGGACAATTTTATAGTGTGATTCACACTGTGTGAATCCACGCAGCATCATGGTTCTATGCCTAGGCGGTGCGGTGAGGTGGGTGGGGATAGTCTCTCTACCACAATTCTGATGCTTTACGCACTGTTCATATATCTTGAATGATACGAAGACTTTTGACGACACCATTAATCTATTTATATTTTCCCGTTTTTCATATCCTTCTTCAATATAGCGGTAATGTGGTTCGCGGACTCCTGCTTCCCATCTCTCATCGGGATGCAGGTCTGCGCATCGCTCTGGGCGGTATTTAGGTTGTTCACGAGTACATTTTAACTCGAGGAGCGCCAGAGATTGAAGATCCCGCTGGGCTCATAGTCTACTATTGCTGGGCTATCAATGGTTATTTAGTGGCTGATTATGATATTGAACAAGACTAATATGATACGCTTCCCTTTCTCTCGATACTCTGGATGTTGCTGCGTTCATGTATGAAGGACACTTGGTGAGTGCCACTCACAAGACCATTTCGGCTTCTTACGATAAGACTCGATCGGTTGAAACACCTGATCGTGCACATCTCTGTTCGAGGACTTTAACCTTCGTGACCCACGTTCACACTTAGCTACAGGATATTTTGGACATCCGTTGCTTGCCAATGCTATCGGCTGTAACACATACCCAGCTTGACAGATTCGCTAGCTAAAAGTTAGTAATTGAGAGGGCAACAAATAGACGCGATAAAATTATTGCGTGATCGCCAACAAAACAACAGTACCGACCTGCATTTGTTCCCCAGCCATGATTAACACAACAGTAGAGCTTGTCGGGTGAATACTCATAGCTCAATGAGCCCCGCTCGTGCGGGTATAACCGTCAACACAATCCACTCGACTCGAGGGATGAACAACTTAGTTCAGGTTGTTCGGGTTTCAGCCCTTAGCCGAGGCAACGTAGCTTTTATATTTCCTATCGAGTAGCTTACTCAATAAGAAGCCGGCTCTTACCAAGTCCGACATGCTCCTCATGGGGAAATTATAATAGGCGAAATATAAGTTGGTAATGGTCGATAAAGACCGAGGGATTGATGAGTGCAAGCTGCACACTGTACAAAATGGGGCACCTATGCCATTCTAAGATACGCCTCAATCGAAGGAATTATAACAAATGGGGCACCTATGCCATTCTAAGATACGCCTCAATAGAAGGATTTACACCAAATGGGGCACCTATGCCATTCTAAGATACGCCTCAATAGAAGGAATTACACCAAATGGGGCAACTGCGCCATTCTAAGATATACCTCAATACAATCAACTCCACCGAATGGGGCAACTATGCCATAGGTCACTACAGACAATGTCTCGGATGCCAGCTATATTCACAGCTACTTCTCTCGGATGTTCTGTAGTAGACATACCAACTCCATTAGCGGCGCCGAAGAAACTTAACTTTGGCCTAAACGCGGCGATCAACTTTTGTCGCTGTATCAACGATAATGCCCAAGAACAGCTTTATCGTATGTCCTGACAATGCGAGACGACTCATCTCGTCAGCAAAGATGAATTGAAGCACTCTACGAGCTATAGCACAATATGTAGTCACATAGGTAGAATCCAAAGGTTAGAGGAGATCTGTTTATCGTATTGGCATGATACTCCCGTTACTCACTACTGGAATCACTATGATACTAGTAGTATTATAGTATGATACTACGGTGAACACTATATGCATCTGAAGCATTGCATCGCTAACCTAAGCGTTCAGTTATGCCGATAGCATAGATTTTATGATGAAAACAGCAGTGTTCAAATGATGACCTCAAAGTCACGACTCTCGGACCAGACTCCTCAGAACGTGCATGGCATTGCAAGTCGAGGCCTCTACCCTCTTAAGACAGTCTCACGAGAGCCCTGTACAAACTTGATTCACTTGTTGGCAAATCGAGTGACAAACGCAAGTCCCATAGGAGGTCTTAGAAGAATAGGAGAGAATTTAAACAGGGATGTCGAGCAAAGTGAACAGCTTTTCGTCTCTAAGGTTTCGCTAATGTTGGAGCCAGAGTCTGTAGGGCAGGATAATAAGCTCATAGCGTTCTAACTGCACATCTATACACAGATGATCATGGTGGATTAGCCTCCGAGTGGCTCATGCTTTTACCTCGTAGATGTTGTACGCTTGTACTGCTGTGCAG